TTAGTGTCAGTACTCTCATCTGTAGAGAGCATAGAGGGCTGCTAATAGCATTTTAGAGCTTTTTTTTTAAAAAGATTATTTGAAAGGCAGACTGACAGGAAGCAGCAGAGAGAGCTCTTTTGTCTGATACAGCCTTTGGTGTTCTGTAGTGAACATTATGTAATTGTTGGTTGTTAGTAATTAAAAAGCATAATTGCCATGTATTAAACACTTTTTCTGTGTGGCAAACACTAAAATTCTGTTTCAGTTCTAGTTCTTCCGTTAACTAACATTTTGCAGGTTAGAAACATATAATGACTTCCAAGTCACGTTGAAAGTGAAAGATCCAGAATTCATATGTGAAAGTGCTTGCTTGTTCCACTGTGTCACTCTTCTGTTTAGAATGTTGGAATTGACATAATTTATAACTTCATGAAATTTTAAATGTTTTGATCATTGTAGATGGAAAAATTTTAACTATGATAGTAAAACTTATACTAGGAACTTTGAGACTTCATGCTGATAAATTAGAAAGTTATGTCATCCTTACACAAATTGTCTAGCTGATGCGACATCAGTAGCACCCTAAAGAAGCGTTTGATGCTGCCTTGGTAGAAAATTAGAATTTAGTCTGGGTCTTTATTTTTTATTTCTAGAAATGACTACAGAAACGATCAGCGCAACCGACCATACTGATGACTCTTTTGAATGTTCCTTTGTCTCTGACACGATCCATGGTGAATTTGCCAGAGTCGTGCCTGCTGCTTTCCTCGTGGCCTCTTCTTGGGTAGTGAAATTAAGTGACGTTTGGATTTTTATTTGGGTGGGAGGGCAGGGACAATTTTTCTTTTAGCAATGTCCGTTGAAATTTCCCCTTTTAGTTTCCAACCTTCTCTTCCTCAACCCTTGAAGCTAAATGCGTTGTAAAATATTGCCAAAATGAGAAGTGTTTTGTAATACTGCAATAAAAGCTGCTTGTTTTTGTGGACTTTGTATAATTAGTACATTGTTCTGACATGCTCAAGACTGAACCCCCTAGCAGATTCTAACCCTAAGGAATTAGGAACTAAATTCCAGTTGAGTTAAGCTGATACTTCCAATAATATTCATTGAACCTTAAATTTTCCAATAGAATGCCAAATATGTTGCTGATAAAATGAATAGTAGAGTGTAATAAGTGCTACAATAAGGATAAAATTTTTTTTTAAAAAAAGTTCATTTCTATTTGAAAAGCAGAGAGAGAACATTCCAATCCTCTGTTTCACTCGCTAAGTGCTCAAAAACAGCTGTGCTTGGTCCAGTTCAAACCCAGGAGTCTAGAATTCAATTCAGGTCTCTCACCTGAGTGATGGAGATGAAGATCCTTGAGTCCGCATCTGCTGCCTCTCAGGGAGGTGCACATTAGTGGGAAGCTGGATTGGAAGCAGAGTAACTGAAACCTGAACCAGGAACCTGATAAGGGTATCTGGGTGTTCCAAGCACCTTTGACACTGTACCTGTACCTACCCCCAGTGTAAGGTACTTTTGAGTACTAAAGACACTCTGGAATTGGTGTGTGATATAGTGGGTTAAGCTACTATCTCTGGTACTGGCATTCCAAATGATCTCTGGCTTGAGTCTTTACTCTCCCAATCCAGTTACCTCCAGTGGAAGATAGCTCAGGTATTTGGACCCCGGTATCCATAAGAGAGACCCTGATGGAGTTCTGGGTTTCCCTGGACTAACAACCCTGGCCATTGAATCTGTCTGGGAAGTGAACCAGTCATTCTCCCTTTAAAATAAATAAATATTTTTTGAAAGGGGCACTTTAGCCAGCTATGTGAAAGCACTGAAGAATTGGTGAGTATGGAGAGGAGCACAGGAATTGACCAAGTGCAGAGGTTGGGATGAGGGTATAATTGTGGCAGGAAGCTATAATGGCATAACCAAGTCAAGATGTAGGAGACAGTCTGTTTTAAAATTGTATGTGGTTCTGTGTGAGTGGAGGGGGGGAAGAGTTCCAGAGTGGGCATACAAAAGTAAAGACTGGGGAGGTAAACAAACTGTAATTAGGTACTTGAGTTTTCATTTTTCAGCTAGGGATTCATTAAAAGATTATAAACAGGAGTGGCATCCTCTGATTCAAGTGACATCAACTGAAAGATGATTGTGGCTGCTTTACAGAAAAGCTGGAGTGGAGACAGAATGGTAAGTCAAATGGTCTGAGCTCGGCGATTGGCCAGGTAAGGAGATAACGGATTTAAGAGGCTGGAAATTAGGATTTGAGTATCAATAGTAGTTCAAAAGCCAGAGTCAGGTTTCTGGCCTGGCCTGTTGGTAGATGCGCTTTTCACTGAAATAGGAAACGTTAAGAAAGGAGCAGTTTTGTAGGCAGGCTGGCCATGAATTCTTTTGAGATCTGTTGAGTTACAGATCCTCATAAAACTTCCCAATAGAGGTATCCAGTGGGCCAGCTGAATGTGCACATTGGCATGGATGCTCCCTGGATGCCTGCACGGAGCTGGGAAGCCAATCCAAGTTTCCCATATGAGTGACAGGAATCCAGTTACTGAGGCTGTCACTTCTGCCATCTAAGGTCTGCATTGGCAGGAAACTGAAATCAGTAGCTAGAACAAGTTCCTAAAGCCAGGCACTCAGCATGGCGTGTAACTAGTTTCAGTGCTAAGTGAGATGGATGCCTGCCTTGGATCTCTGCCACTTCCATTTCTTCTTTGTTTTACTAATATCAGTTAAGTGTCTTCGGATCAGATCAAATAAAAAACTTAGAACTTGTCCTTGATTTCTGTTTTTTGTTTGTCTTATACCAACTTATTTAAATTTTTAACTTTAAAATATATCCTGTGGGCTAACGTGACTGTCTGATGGATGAAGCCAGCATGTACATGCCAGTTCAAGTCTTGGGTTCCCCACTTGTGATCCAGCTACCTGCTAACATGCCTGGGAAAGCAATGACCAAAGTGCTTAGACCTCTGCACCCACATGGAAAACTTGGAGGAAGCTCCTTGATCCTGGCTTCTCACTAGTCCAGCTCCAGGAGTTACATATCTGGATATTTGAATAGCTGACTCATCGAAGTGTCTACAGTCTTATCCTCTAAGTTGTATTTTTTTATTTAGCAGTCAAATCATAGGGTCAAGCATATTTTAAATCTTTGCAGTGACTATATTTTGGTTATAAATTCTTTCATCTGGCTAAAAAACCTTGTAAGATCTGGCCTTTGTCTACCTCTTCCATCTCATTTTTGTTACACTTCTATGCTAACAATGCTGTAACTGCAGAGTCATAGCCCCAGATACAATTCTGCTTTAGTTTCCTTTCTTTTGTTTTTCTCTTCTCTTCTAGATTTATTTATTGAAAGGCAGAGTTGCAGAGAGAAAGAAAGATCTATTTGCTGGTTCACTCCCCACATAATTGTAGCTGCTGGAGCTGGGCTGGTCAGGAGCAAAGATGAGGGTGCAGGGGCCCAAGAACTTGAGCCATCCTCTGCTGCTTTCACAGGTAGGGATCTGGATCAGAGCAGAAGTGGAGCAGCTGCGACTTGACCCGGTGCTCATGTGGGATACCAGTACTGCAGGCTGGGGCTTAGGTTGCTATGCTACAGTTCTGGTCCCTTTTTTCACTTCTGGTGATCACAGGCTAAAGGGGAGTGATGAATTCATGTTTGAGTGTTTACTGTGTAATTATGTAATAGTACGCACTGTTGGGCTTTGTGTTAATCGCACCGGAACTCTTAACTGGCATCATCTCTTCATTTTGTACGGGAGGAAACGGAATCAGGCTGAGTAACCTGTCTAAAGTAACAAACCACATAAATGATGAACTTTGGGATTAGATTTCATGTTCATCTGATCCCCCAGTTTGGATTTTTTTTTTTTAGTAATAAAAAGTATATTATGTTTTATAGATGGGATAAGCGTATTTTAAAATGTTGCTGTCTTAAATTTCTGGGTATTGTATGCAGGTTGTATTTTTTTTAACTAATTATCACTTTGATAATCTTTACATAGTTGATTAGGGCACAAAGGGTCGAGGGCTACAGGAAAGTGGGTAAGGCCATTGTTTCCACATTTTTTTTCTGTATCTGGGGTAAGGGGGAAGATAGACAGGATGGGGATTGTAGGCTGTTGAGATTGGTGTGGGAGGTCCTACTGGTAAAGGAAACAGTGCTCTGTAGAGGTAAGAAAGGAAGCTCATTTTGTTTTTTTGTTTTTTTTTTTTAAAGATTTAGTTTTATTATTTTTTTATTGGAAAGGCGGATATACAGAGAGGAGAGACAGAGAGGAAGATCTTCCGTCCAATGATTCACTCCCCAAGTGAGCGCAATGGGTCGATACTATGCCGATCCGAAGACAGGAGCCTCTTCCGGGTCTCCCACGCGGGTGCAGGGTCCCAAAGCCTTGGGCAGTCCTCAACTGCCTTCCCGGGCCACAGGCAGGGAGCTGGAAGGGAAGCGGGGCTGCCGGGATTAGAACCGGCGCCCATATGGGATCCCGGGTGTGCAAGGCGAGGACCTTTAACCACTTGCGCCACCGCGCCGGGCCCAAGGAAGCTCATTTTATAGAGTAATGATCTCGAAGGGAATGGCCCTGAGGGAGGTAGAGAGCCAGCAGCTGGGAGAAACATTGGTCAGCCTGAAGCTTAGCTGTCCCCTGGCCGCTGAAGGAAAGGTGAGGATGTGGGGACAGTAAGGGAGAATGGCCCAAGCCTCCCAGCAGTTTCTGCTGATTGTCTAAGCAGCCTCTAGGCAGAGTCTCAGCTCTATAGCTATGCCATTAAATACTAGATACAGAGGAACGTTAGTTATGGCAGTTGGCTGGCCATCCAGAGGTTCTGGTACTTTGCTGCTGTCCCCCTGTCATTTCTCTGAATGAAAAGTCGGTGTGAGGAGACCTGTCACTCAGGGATACCTTGGGAAGGAAACAGCACTGTAGCAATGATCCAGACAGATCTGTGGGATAGTGACACCTGTTTATTCAGAGATCATTATGGGTTGTTTTCTCAGGAAAGCTTGAGAAGTATCCTCAGGGAGAGGGGGTATGCCCAGAGGGCTGACATTTGAAAGTACCAGAAAGACTGCAGGTCTTGTTTCTAATCTTTGATTGCCAGTTTCCCAAAGGCTGCATCTGGGGTTCCTGATGGAAACAGGACAGGAAGACAGGCATCCTTTTCTTTTTGTCCCTTTTGGTGCAGGACCTTGTGATGAACAAGGGATTTAGCTGAACAAGGTGGAAGTCTTGGATATTTAACTTTTCTGGGGTCTCAGGCTTCTCACGGAATCTTATCGGTGCTTCCTCCACACTGATCTTAGGTGCCTCATATACAAAGAATATCTTGTCCTTCAGCTTGCTTTGGATCCAAGGATCAGTTGAGGACCAAAGGATGAGGGTTTCTTGTAGCTGCATAGAAACAAAGGCCCTAGAGCTGGCTCACATCTAGCTCAGGCTGGGAGGGGCAGGGGTATCCAAGGGAAAGAATGTTCTTGCCAGAGGCCATCAAGACTAGGGACAATGTCCAAGGAACAAGTGGTGAAATTTTCAGAGGACATGGAAGGTGGGGTAAAGAAAAGGAAGAGGTGACTGGAATGCCTTACACTTTTCTTCACAGCCTGGTTCTCTTCTACGTCTAGCATGTCCAGGAGCAGGTGGAATACTTGCGTGCTGCGGACCCCTAGAACACCCTAGCAGAAGTAAACAGAGATTGCTGGAGGAGTTAGCCTGAGAAGATGCACTGTACTCTTTTTTTTTTTTTTTCTGTTTTGCCCTTTTGTGATGACTTGGGAAACAGGATTTTTGTAGCTAAGGTATCCCCTTCTGACATATTGAGGCTACTGCACATGGTTCCAGGGACCATAATTGAGGAGGAAGAGTCTGGATGATTTCATGTATCTATGCAGTGCCTTTCACACCTGTCTGTGTCCCTTATCCCCCCGACCCCAATCCTGAAGAAAAGGCAACTGTGGGCTCAAGTGGGATGGAATTCTAAAATAAACAACTTCTCTAAACTTGACAGCCCTGTCTTTCCCTCAGTGATCCTGGCATTTACACATGTCAGGAATCAGGTCAGAGAAGCATAGCCCACCTTACCAAAGAGGTGATGGCTTCCTGGCGTGCAGTTGCATTAGGGCTCATCAGTTGCCTGTGTAGAAAGGAATGAGGATATTGTCCAGTTAAAGGGGAGGGAGAGAGGGACTGCTTGCTTTTCCAGCCCACCACAGTGGGTTGGACATAATGCTGAGAAGTGACGAATTCATTGCTTTTTTTTTTTTTTTTTTCCTTCGGTTAGGAAAGGGGCTGGGAGAGAGGGAAGCAGTTATTAGTCAGGGGGCACTAAATGTTTACCACTCCACAACTTTGCCTTTCATTCCTTCATGACATTGAGGTTTACAGCAACCCTCAGTGATGGGTGTTGCTAGCTTCTTTTTGCAGTACACACACACACACACACACACACACACACGGTTCTTTGCTGACCCTCTGCTGCCTTTCCATGGCCTAGGATTTGGCTCTGGAAGCTCCCAGCCAACCCTCAGTGATGGGTGTTGCTAGCTTCTTTTTGCAGTACACACACACACACACACACACACACACACACACACACACACACACACACAGTGATGGGTGTTGCTAGCTTCTTTTTGCAGTACACACACACACACACACACACACACACACACACACACACACACACACACACACACACACACACACACGGTTCTTTGCTGACCCTCTGCTGCCTTTCCATGGCCTAGGATTTGGCTCTGGAAGCTCCCAGCCCAGACCACTCACTCTTCCACTACTTCCATCATCATAGGCTTCATCCTGAGCTCCTCCACAATTCTCACCACAGCCTGCCTCATAGCCTGTAGAGGGATCAGTGGGAAAACAGAATGCTGGAGTGTGCATCCAAGTGCTTCAAAACATTTACCAAACATGTTGTGCTGCAGAGCCTGGAAGAGTTCATGAAAGTAAAAAAACAATTCCGGTGCTGATTGGAGCATACATAAGATGCTCTCCTGAGTTCTTGTGTACGGGGTAGATTCCATGGAGTTGGCAATGCCTCAGGTGAAGTTTGAGGTGTGAGTGGAAATTAACCAGGTAGAGAAAACCATGGACCAAAACTTGGAGGGGAAGTACAAAAAGAATGGGTAGCTGGAGGGAGCTTAATTTAGTGAGCTGACAAGGTGGGGCTCCTCAGAGAGGTGGAGAAGTAAAGAGATAAAGGTAAGAGGATGATCCAGGCCTGATATGGTCAAGCAATATTTGCTCTCCTGAGGGCATTGGGAACCTCTGAAAATGTTTATACTGAGGTGAGGCTTCCAATTTACATTATAGGAAAGTGTGGGAGCACTGTGGCTGGTTTTGTGAGGAACTCCATCTGCATCTTTCACATGGGGGGCCATGAGCTCATTTTCTTGGACTGTCATCTGATGCCTCCAAGGCACATTAGCAGGAAGCTGAGTCAAACAGAATCCAAGACAAACCAGCACTAGGTTATGGGACAGAGGCATCCCAAGAAGTGGCTTAACAACCTGCTGTGCCGCAACACTGGTCCCTGAAGAAAAGGGAAAATAAAAAGGCAAAACAGATTCTGATTGCTGCTCTGGGAAAACTTCCTGGGGGAGTTATTATTATTTGGGCTTGAAGGGTCAATAGTATTTCAATAGGAGGTTCCTTATCACTCAGTGAATAAGAGGCAAGTTTTACCTTCTAGATTGGGGAAGGATGACTTAGGTATTTTTAGTTGAGAAAATAGCCTGAGCAGAGGCATAGTGGCTTGACATCAGGCTGCACTAAGGGAACAAGGAGTAGAGAGGAGGAGGTGGTGTTTTGATAAGTGTTGTTGAAAACCAAGCCAGGGAGCATTGCCAGAGAAGAGAATGACTGGCTGTGTGGGCTTTGGAATATTTGTCTCACAAGAAAGGGTTCGTTATGTGTCTTCTTCCTGAGAAGGTCAAAGGTGAGCTCCTCTAGACCCTGTGCCTGGATCTGTTCCAGCCCAATGGTCCGGAGCATCTGGATGGCTTCATAGCGGTCCTGTGGGCAGAGGTAAGGAAGGCATGAGACAGACTCCCGTTCTCATCCCCCAGCCTTGTCCTAGAGCTATGGAGCAAAGGTGCGAGATGTCCCGGCGCTTACATCAAGGACATGGGAAGAGCACAGTTGGTCTAGAATGGACCTGATGACTGCAGCTGAATGAACATGCATCTTCTTGACCAGCATCCTAAGTGCCTGTGAAGGACAAGGTGAAGCAGGTATACAGGTATATGCCTAGAGATGGGGGCTTGAGGGTTGGTCTTAGAACGCTCGGGGGCCAGATCAGGTTCTTTTTCTTGCCTCATGGCCTTCTCAAGGGAGAACGCAAGTGCATTTGAGTACGTGTGTGTACATATATAAATGCACATCCCATATCCACACAGATACCTGCATATCTGTATGACCCTCTTTTGCATATACCTGCTTAACACACAGGGGGTTCCTGCTGCGCTCTGAACAAGATCCCGGCCCCACTGGCCTGTTTTCCCCAGTGCTTCCGCAGATCCCAGCCTCCTGCCCTTCACACCTTCATCTGCTGTGTCTTGGGCCCTTGGCACAGGCACTTCAGCAAGAACTCTTGTGCCAGGTTGCTGCAGGGTCTCAGGAAACCCAAGCACAAGGCTGCCTCCAGGGCTGCTTCATTTAACAACTTCTTTATCAGTGTCTGCAGCACAAGCACCAGTTTTTCTTCATCTCCAACTTTGGTCCTCTAAGAGGAAGACAGGAAGCAAAAGGGAAGGTCTGCAGCTAGGCTTCATGCTTTGTAAGAGGGTGATTATTTACTGCTTCCAGACTGTCCTGTCTCCTAGAATGAGTGCCATATCGTCAGATGACTTCATATACTTCACCCTACTTTTGCTATCACTCCCAGGTTCTATTTTCATCTTTCTATTACTTTAAAAAAATTGTTTTTATTGGAAAGACAGATTTACAGATTGGATAGACATCTTCCATCTAGTGGTTCACTCCCCAAACAACTGCACTGGCCGGAGCTCAGCTGATCCAAAGCCAGGAGCTAGGAACTTCTTCTGGGTCTCCCATTCGGGTAGACTCCCAAGGCCTTGGGCATCTTTTTACTACTTTTCCAGGCCAAAGCAGGGGGCTGGATGGAAGTAGAGCAACCAGGACGTGAATTGGTGCCCATAGAGGATCCCAGTGCTTGGCAATGGAGGATTAGTCAATTGAGTCATCACACCAGTGCTGACCTATTTTTAAGAAAAAATTTTAATAGGCCAGTTCCTGTTATCCATTCTTTTTTCAAGTTTTTGTTAAAAGATTTATTTTTATTGAAAAGGTGTATTTGCAAATAGAAGGAGAGACAGATCTGTCTGCGGGTTCTCTCCCTAAGTGGCTTGCAGTGGCTGGAACTGAACTGATTGAAAGCCAGGAGCCCTTTCTGGGTCTCCCACATAGGTACAGGGTCCCAAGGTTTTGAGCCATTCCCCACTGCTTTCCCAGGCAGTGGGAAGGAAGGAGCTGGATGGGAAGTAGAGCAGCTGGGACAAGAACTGGCTAATCTTGCAGCTGGAGAATTAGCTAGTTCAGCCATGGTGCTAGCCCCTATTCAGTTTCATTTCAGTTTATTTGAAAGATAGAGAAAGGAGAGATCTTCCATCTCCTGGTTCACTCCCTGAATATCCGCAGTTCTCAGGAATGGGCCAGGCCAAGGTCAGAAGCTTGAAACTTGATCTAAATCTGCCACATGGCTGTCTAGGACCAAGTACTGGAATCATCACCTGCTGCCTTCCAAAGGAAGCAAAGCCAGGATTCAAACCAGGCGTTCTATAGGCATCCCAAGCAATGTCTTTTTAAAAATTATTTCATTTTTGATGATGTTTACATAGTCGAGATGGATGTATGCCCATGTGGACAATTGCTTAGGGTGGGAAGGTCGGGAAATGGGGAAGAGTGGATGAGACAACTGCTTCCAATTTTTTTTTTCTTCCTGCATTGGGGCAAGGGAGGAGAGAAGGGGAGAGGGCTGCTCCCAGAAGCCTAAAAACATCAGTACCAGGGGATGTAGGGTTGGCATTCCATGTCATCCTGGACCCCTTGATGTGGAGCATGTTCTGAGGGTACTGCCAAGTGTCGTCTTAACGTCTGCACCAGACATCTGTGATTCTTGTGGCTAGATCACTGTACTCTGTTGCTTCTACTGTCTTAAATTCTGGAACTTAGAAAAAGATTTCCTTCCAAACCTCTTCTAATAACCTCACCACAAATCCCACAGAAAGACATAATCATGACTCATAACTTCATAATATCTACTTTACATATCTCAAGCTGACCATTCCTTCCTCATTTGCAGCTCACTTGCCAGGGTCAACAGCATTTGGCTATGAAAGATTAATAACTCAGTAACCAGTCTGCCACTTTGTTGCTATTTTTCATACTTGACCCAGCTTAAATTCCATGTCCTGCTATAATCCGCGATGTCACTCCAGCTCCTTTATGCCCACTATATTGTACTTCCTTGACAGAACTATAACTTTGGTTTAGTCCAACTCACCTGGAGAAAAAGTTAACGATGATTGATCTTGCACTCGAACCACGCAGACACTTAATGCTGCCTAATAATCATAGCTGTTTTTTCTAGGCCACTCTTGTCTTTTAAAGCCTGTCTTTTCCCCTGGATCCTTTGATGTTTCTTGATTCTCAGTTGATGACCCTGCTTTCTACTTCACTGAGAAAATAAAGCAGCTAGATAAAAAGTCCCAAAGGCACATCCTACCTCCTCTGTCCCACTTCAACACCTGTCCCTGGACCCAGAGCGGTAGCCTAGCAGCTAAAGTCCTCATCTTGGCACGTGCTGGGATCCCATGTGGGCACTGATTCTTTTTTTCATTTTTTAAATTATATTTTTGACAATCTTTACATAGTTAATTAGGGTAAAGAGGTTCAAGGGCTGCAGGAAAATGGGTAAGACTATTAGTTTCATATATAAAGGGGAATTTTAAGTGTTTTAAGGGAGAAGACCCACCCAGTCTCCCACCCACCCCAGGTCCCTGATGGGGGGCATGCTCTTGAGGGTCTTGCTCAAGTGGTTTTGATAGTTCAACAGCTATGAATTGCTGCCAGTCTCGCCACTCCAAGCACAATGAGGTCATTGAAGAATCCAATGATTGACCTAGTCCATCATAGTCTCCGTTTGATGGGCACTGATTCTAATCCCGGCAGCCCTGCTTCCCATCCAGCTCCCTGCTTGTGCCCTGGGAAAGCAGTCAGCCCAGGGCTTTGGGACCCTGTGCCCATTATTGTCCTGGAAGAGACTCTGGGCTCCTGGCTTTGGATCGACTGAGCTCCCGCCATTGCGGCCACTTGGGGAGTGAATTAAATGGACAGAAGATCTTTCTGTCTCTTCTCCTCTCTGTATATCTGACTTTGCAATAAAAAAAAAAAAAACCTGTTAAACAAAAAACAAAAAAGACACCTTTCCCCAACCACATATTCTTCCTTTCCATCTGTTGTTATGGGCTGTAAGCGTCACTGGCTTACGCTAGTGTGTTAAAGCCCATTCCCTGATACCCAGTTGTGGACACTGATATTGCAACTGTAACCACTCTTTAAAAAACATCACTTTTGGGTCCGGAGGCATGTCCTAGCGGCTAAAGTCCTTGCCTTGAATGTACTGGGATCCCATATGGGCGCCGGTTCTAATCCCAGCAGCTTCACTTCCCCTCCAGCTCCCTGCTTGTGGCCTGGGAAAGCAGTTGAGGACGGCCCAAAGCTTTGGGACCCTGCACCTGTGTGGGAGACCCGGAAGAAGTTGCTGGATCCTGGCTTCGGATCGGCATAGCATCGGCCGTTGCGCTCACTTGGGGAGTGAATCATCGGACGGAAGATCTTCCTCTCTGTCTCTCCTCTCTGTATGTCTTGACTTTCCAATAAATAAATCTTTAACAAAAAGAAAAAACATCACTTTTGAGACCAGTATTGTGGAACAGTGGATTAAGCCACCACTTTTATGGTTGTTTTTGATAACTTTTTCCTTTTTTTTTTCTAACCTTTAGTTCTGGTGCCAATATTTGCCCTTCCTAGCAAAATTTAAAGGTCGTCCATGCTTCCCTGTTTCTATTGTCTTCTCCCAGCCTTTTTTTTTTTTTTTTTTACCCATTCCCATGAGTTCCTTCCACACAAACCTAACAAGATGACAGTTAAGATAGCAATGACTCCCACATCTTTAAATCCATGTATCAGTTCACTGCATATTGCTTCATATAGTTGGTTTCTCTTCCCTCTGATATAGTGTACTTCAAAAATTGAAAATGCATTATGTAAAAAGTAATTTGGAAAGGGTTTTTCCGTTTTTGCATTAAAATAACCTTTTATTTTTAAGTTCCATTTCTCACAACCTTTTTTTTTTTTTAAAGATTTATTTTTATTGGAAAGGCAGATATACAGAGAGGAAGATCTTCCATCTGATGATTCACTCCCCAAGTGACCAAAACACCTGGGACTGAGCCAATCCAAAACCAGGAGCCTCTTCCGGGTTTCCCACGTGGGTGCAGGGCCCCAAGTATTTGGGCCGTCCTGTCTTCCCAGGCCACAAGCAGGGTGCTGGATGGAAAGCAGGGCCTCTGGGATTAGAACTGGCTCCCATATGGGATCCTGGGGCTTGCAAGGTGAGGACCTTGACCACTATGCTATCGCGCCGGGCTTTCTCACAAGCTTTTTAAAAATACATTTGCATGTTTCTCACTAGATTTTTAGTTTGTGTTGCCTTTCTACCTCATTAGCTGACTGCTTAGGGAATACTGGTTTCTTTTATGATTTCTTAACACTGGGGGGCCCCAAAGTACAATTTTTAGCTTTTAGTGATCTCATCCAGTTTCTTAACTGTGGTTTGTTGATAACTTCTGAATTTCTTTTTCTAGTTCATACCTCTCGAACTCCAGATTGTGTTATTCAATCATTGACTTGCCATTTCCCTTGTAGTTCCAGTGGACATTTTAAACATGTTCAAAACCATGCTTCTGATGTTACCTCTCGCCTCAAAACCTGTTCCATCTGGAACTCTCTTGATTCAAATTAATAATAGCTTCATCCTTTGTATTGCCAGACTAAGACATTGGTTTTGTCCCTGTTTCCTCACTGTCTTATAGCTCCCATTCCACTAGTTAGTTTTGCTTTGTAACTCTGTGACCACCACAGTCCAAAGCCACAACTAGTTCTCATCAGGATTGTTTTAGTAGCCTTTAATTGGCATCCCTATTTCCAAAATAGTAGTCAGAGCAAACCTTTGGAAATGTAGGCCAGATCATGCTCTGTTCTAAAACCTCTAATGGAAAGCAGGTGCTGCATAGCAGGATAACTGATGCTTCCCCCATCCTGTATCGGTTCAAGTCCCTGCAACTGCTTCTGATCTGGCTCCTACTAATACCTGAGAAAGCTGAAGATTGCACAAGTACTTGAGTTCCTGCCACCCAGATGGGAGACTTGGATCGAGTCCCAGGCTCCTGGCTTTGGCTTGGCCCAACTTTGGCTGTTATGGGCATTGGAGAGTGAACGAACCAATAGGTGGGAGATCTCTGTATTTCAAATAGGTAATTAAGTAAACAAGCAAACAAGTCATTAAAAAAACAAGACCAATCAAGCCTCCAGTGGTTCTTTATTTTTTATTTACACTGAGAGTAAAGGCCTAATTAGAACAGCGTAGAAGACCACATACAATTTAATCTCTTGTTTGTCTTTGACCAGACCTTCCTTTCCTTTGACTGTGTTTATACTTATCCCATTTGAGCCATACTGGCCTTCCTGTGGTCCTTGACTATATCGGGCATGCTCCTGCCTTTGCATTGACCAATTCTGTATCTGCAAGGCTCACTGCCTCCATCCTCGTCATGTTTTGTTGAAATGTACCTTCTAAACAAGGCCTTTCCTCTCTACCCTGTTTAAGATTGCAGCTCATACCTATTCTCACCTGGCACTCCTGATTACCTTCACCCTGCCTACATAATTTCCCTCATTGTATTTTAATGTATTATGTAATTTTTTGATTAAATGTGTTGGATTTTGTATTCTCCCCACTGTAATATAAGCTCCACCACTGCAGGCATCTTTGCCTGTTCAGCTCACTGATGAGTCTTTAAAGGCCCACAGCAGTGTCAGCATGTGGTAGCTGTTTATTGTGTGCTTTCTGGGTAATTAGGTGGATGATTGATTCTCTTTCACAAGGGGGTAGTGATGGGGTCAAAGTAAGATCACCTTGAAGGGGAGAAAGCTGAGAGTAGTGTCAGAGGACCTTTCTTGGTCCACACATGCTCTTGCTGAAAGTCCTACTTTAGTAGGATGTTTTAGGGATGATAATAAAAGGGATGCTTATCACTCAAGGAGCACAGACATTGTGCTGTGAAACAATTACTCTCAGAGATGAGTAGACTGCATGTATCTCAGCTGGCTTACAAAGGTTGTCTGGGTATTAAGTGGTTAAGCATACACTATTGTTCAACTCCAGGCACTGTCTCCCCCAGTCAGAGCTGAGAGCTGGAATGCCTTTGTGTTGACCTAACCTCTTAACCAAGCCCTTCAACAGCTTTGTCTTGTTTTGCCCCAGTTACAGGCTGCCCTCCTAATCACCTTGTCTTCAGGAACAGCAGCCCAGGAGTTCAGAGCCACTCGCAGCCCAGTAAGAGTCTCCATCCTTCTACCCTTATCTTGCCCCTTAAGGTGTTTAATGAGGGCACAGATTACGTGCTTATTCAGGCAACCTGGAAAGGGAGGTTCCTCTGGTCAGAGCAGAGCCTTGGGACCATTCTTCTCTGCAAGGACCCAATGAACCTTCACAATAGTTCCAGGTACTGGGAACCAAGGACCCCAGAGCAGCTGGCTGAACATGGACACAGTGCCAGGAGCCCTTCTTTTCACCCCCCACTTCTCTCTACCCAACAGTACTTGGGTACAGGGTGGTTCCAGACCCTGCCAGAGGCTGGGCTGGCATGGGTATGAACTCTGCTCCCTTCCGTCCTTGTCCACAGGAGGAAGTGGCTGCACTTTCGCATCTCCTATACCTCCCCCACCAAGGAAAGGGTGTACTCACCCAAGATGGCCAGGGTTCGGTAGGCCTCATACTTCACTTTCTCCGAACCAGTTTGGGCCTGAATTAAGAGTCAAGTGGTGGAAATACACCAAAAGGTAATGGGATATCAGAGCTCGAGGGATTGTTGCAGGAGCCTCCTTCACTTTACAGAAAAAGGAACCGGAAGCCTAGAGAGTAACTTCCCTTTAATCCATCACTGCACGATATAACTAGAGTGCAGTGGAAGTAACACTGAACTTGTGAATTACACTTTGTACTAAATTTCTAGTAGTCCCTGGGCCTTGGGCAAGCACTTGTCTTCACAGATCTAATGTTTTGACATTAGAAAAACATTGAGAGTAATAGATCTTTCTGGTGTTGATAATTGAAATGCAATTATGGATAATGTGTGCTCTGGCTTGTAACCTGTCATACAGGCAGGGAGCACTGCTTCAGCTAAAGTAGAGGAGAAACGCAGTCCCCATTCTTTCCTCCCCTTTTAGTCGAGCGAAGGGAGATCTTCAGATTCTTCCTTGCTCGACCCTGTTTCCCTCAGGTTGCTCTTGAAAGAGGCCAAGGGCATGCTACTCACTGGTGGTTCCCTGCTTACTGCCTCTGACCCATCTTCTGGCACCCTGGGGGCACCTTACCTGTCACACGTCCAAATTCTCCAAACCCCAAACCCCGTTTGCTCAGGTGAGCTCAATGCAGCTGCAAACTCACCACCTGCCACAGTGCGTCCATGATGAACTTGTCACTGTTGCCCAGGTACCCTAGAGCCTGTAGGAAGAGTAGGTGGACACTGTCTCCAGGAATTCCCATCCTCTGGACACAGTCTGAAGCTTGTACTTGGAACACAAGCCCTGCCCTGCCACCCACCTCAAGCAGCCTTTGACTTTCAAGCCCAGCTGCTATAGCCATCCTCCTTGGCCCTTGCTGCTTCTCACCTGTGCTGCATACACCTGCTCATCCTCCTGGGGAGATTTCAGGCTTTTTGAGAGTTCCTGCTCATCCCAGGCCGCCATTGGAAAGGAAGAAAGGAAAACAGTTGCAGAGCTTCTGACTGAAAGCAGCTCGTCCAATCCTAGCCCCTTTCCTCCACCTCCACTTGACAGGCAGAGGCTGGAGGTGGAAGCATGCTATGAGCTCAAGGTAAGGACACCAATAGGGTGGGTGGAGGAGGTAGGGCTGAGGGAGGCTTCCTGTATCCTCCCTGGCTAGCATTCGAACCTTTAGTCTTTGCCACTTCAGAGAGTTGCTGGCAGGCTCTAAAAGCCTGGGTGCCATCCGAGGTTTTGCAGTCAGCTTGCTCATGGGGAGATAGAAGTCTTGGATGTGAGTGTCCTTTTGGGGGTACCTAGGTAAGAAATCACACTGCCCTCCTGGGTCTCCTGCTCAGGTTGCAACCTCTGTCTGGGGACATCAGCCCAGCTCAGAGAAGAGACCTGAGAGAGGCAAGTGGGGACTCTGATAACCCACCTGAGGGTTTTCCCTGGGACCTGCAGGCTGACTTGCCCCACTCCTTGGCCCACCCCTTGTCTTTCCTCCCTTGCCTGGAATCTGTGGGAGGTGTGGTGAGTACTGACATGGGCAGAACACAGACACTCTTTCGCCGCTCTTTCATTTTCCGTAGCATCCTTTGGGTCTCCCCTTTCTCTTTCTCGTCATGCAGCATGTTCCAGAACATGGCAGTCTCTGGTGTCTCAGAGTAGCAGTAAGGGAGCACATTCAAGGTCTTGCAGTACTGTCTCCAGCACTCTGGACTTGGGGGATACACTTCCTTTGACACCTGGGGTGGGGATGCAAGTAGTAGAGCAGTCAGAGTGTCTCACAGGCTCTTGTGAGCATTTGGGGGGAGGAGGGAGGAGGAAAGGAGGGCAGAGTTGCTGAGGAGAGAGATGCTCTTAAGCCTACCATCTGGCCTGGAGTCACAGCTCCTACCCAACCCACTGTGTGACTTGGGCAAGCCACCAAGGCCCAAGACTGACAATGCTAATAATCCTTGCTCTGTTTTCCCAAAGTGGTTGCAAACATGAAGATATTCAGATTGTGAAGCCGTTGGCAGTCTGTACATGGAGCTGAGAACCAATTTACTTACTTGGACATCTCCCAACACTTTGGAAAATTGATTTGTTCAGGAAGACGTGGAGTCAAATTAGGGAGAGGACAAACTGGTACACAATGAGATGCTCACAAGGCCCCTGCTGTGTGCTGGGGACACATTGATTTCTCCTGTCTTCAGGAACCTCACAGTATAGCTGGGGAAAGACATTCTTCGAACAATCTAACAACTGTATGGTTGTACCTCTGACTGTAAGAGATGGTTAGGGTGGGTCAGAGCCTTCTCATAGGCTTTGGCTGGGACACCTGTCTCTTCTCACTGACCCCCAACTCCCACTACTTCACAACTGATCTCTGGGAAGAAGGAAGAGGGGCTGGAGATGCCTGATTTGGTGGCTGGAAAACTCAAAATAAGGGTTTTTCAAGTGATTGTCATGATTTCAGAAAATGGGTCTGAATCACAGCAGGTTGGTTTCCAGATTTAGCACAAAAAGTGCAAACAGCCAAGCAGACTGTCAAGCCAAATCTGGATTTCAGGTAGTGAACAAAATTGTTCTGAGACATGCTTATGCTAAAAAGCCATTCCTTTATCTGACACCCAAACATAGTTGGACATCCTGTATGTAACCTGCAACCATTACTGTGAGGATGCCCATGACACTGATCAAAGCAACTCCTTAGCACTCCCTGCCTAGCTCTAGCCTCATCTAATCTGTCTCATTGCAGCTCTGTGGGGCAGGCAGGCAGGGTTGGAGCAGGAGCAGTGACTCGTCCAAGATGACCCAGTAAGCCGCAGCCTGGGGAGAAGAGCAGACTTCCGTGTGCTGGCCCCAGAAGAGACTGTTTGCTGCCCCTCCCATTTGGACACAGCTCTTGCAGTAGCAAAGGTGAGAGGTCTTACTTACCTGGTGGCAGGACAAGGGCAGGTGGACAGGAGCCACGGCTTTTCGGAATTCTGACAAGAGGGGTAAGAGTACAGTTTGGTACAAATGAGATCACGAGGACTAAGGTGGCTGCAGGAGTCATTCATTTGGCATTTTGTGAGTTCTTGCACGAGGTATCTCACCATGACTCAGGGCAGTGAGTAAGGCATGAGGAGCCCACAGTCTCCTGGTACATTGCTATTTAGGACATGGCTTGGGAGCATCTCAAAAAGGCAAAAACTCAGGCCCTTCTCCAGGCCTATGGAGTTTAGAGCTTTAACCTAATGAGATGCCCCAGGTGTCTGACAAACACTGGCCAAGCAGGCTGTTGTCAACCTTTGCTGCTTATTGCAATTGTTTGGGCATTAGGAGGGGGATTCGAGCATGCCTAGCCTCTACCTCATACTAATTGAATCCTACCTAAGGATGGGGTAAGGCATTTTAGAGCACAAAGCCTCAGAAGATTCTGAAGTGCAGCTGAGGCTGAAACCCACTGGTCTCCTTTAGTTTCTCATTAGAATCACCTGGGATTCATCCCCATAAAGGTCTGATTGCTGGAATCTGGGGTGAGGTCTGAGAATTTGCACTGCAAAAAACATACTGATGCTGCTGCTCATGGGACTGAGTTTTGAGAACTGCTGGTCTGGTGGTAAGATGAAAATGGTTCTTTGTCACCAATGGGTGTGTGTGTAAGGGGGGGTGGGAGCGATGTGAAGGCATGCAGGCACAGGTAGTCCAACTGGAAGTGATAGAACTGATGGTTTCCAGAGGAGGTTACACACAAGTTGAGTCTTCAGGCTTACCCAGACAGGTAAAAAGGGAGAAGCATAGGGAAAGTCTTATGCGTAAACCTTGGATTGTGAAGCTGGGATAGAGAACAGGTTGCAGGTAGGAAGGAAACTGGGGACACTCGAGTTTAGGGGGTGCATCTTAGAGGGTGCAGTGGACCCTGTAAGGGCTAGCAATTTACCTTTAGATCCTTGGGAGCCATTGAAGTTTCTACATCCTGACCTTTTTTTCTGGGGGGTTGCCAGTCTCTTTGCCTGGGATTGCAAGCTACATAGCTTTTCAGGGACACTGCTTTTGGCCCCTTCCTATGCATTCTGGCCTCACCTTTGGTCCTGTTCCGATAGTCCAGCCATGGGTACTTGAGTGTTAACCTGGAGACGTCAAAGATATCGGTTAACCTTTCGTGGGGCATCCTCTTCTAGTGGGGACAAAGGGCACTTAAGCAGGGGCAGTTCAGGACTGTTGAAGGAGTAGGGACACAGCTGGAGACCCGTTCTCCATGGGAACAAGGTGGACCAATGAAGTATTCTGACTTCTGGAGGAAGAAGCTTCCAAGTGCTGAGCAACCAGATTGCCTTGGTAAACAGAACACTCAGGTTCCGTGCTTGAGCTGGCCTCTCCTGGCTTGTGGACTTGAGCTGGTCATGGCACCTCTGTGTTCCGGGCCCTCATCTAATAAAGTGGGAAAATTATGCCTGTCTGGCCAAGAGGAGCTGTGGTAAAACATAAATTAAAAAAAAAAATCATAGGGTTGGGTGAATATTAAGTTCACTTAGCACATGCTGGGCCAGGCTTTTTCGTTGTTAATTAATTAAACATTTTTGTTTTAAAGTGTATTACAAAAGTGAGGGGGTTGCAGACCCATGTGACCTCTGATTAGGATGGAGAGGGTAGGGTTAGGGGAGAAAGTGGGTGAGATAATTGTTTTCTCTGCTATCTCCATGGGTTGAGAGGCAAAGGAAGGGGGGAGAAAATGTGCCCCTTCCTACTGTCACACATCAGCATCCTCGGATAGAGACAGTCGTATGATGCTGCCTTTGAGGCCCAGGTGTGGGGAAGAATGTTCTGAGGGTGTGAGTGATCTTGATTGTTTTGAGAGGTTGTTGGCTCTATTACTCCAGAGCTGAGAAATTCTAAGGCTGTTGGCTGTCCTTGCCCGCACCAGTGGGCCCATAGACCTAGATGCTTCTTGTAGAACATGGCCTGAAATGTAATTCAATCTGTCTTTATTTCCATCTTTTGATAAGGTACTTTGAGTCTTTTGTTGGCTTGGATGAGCTGATTGACTTGTCTCTTTTGCTTTTTGGGTATGTTCTCCATTTTTGCATGAGGGTCAGGCAATGAGGTGGCCCAGTCCTGCAACACATACTCCAGGGTCGGACCACATATCTGTATGGTTTTCCCTGAGCTTAAGGATCAAGTGCAGTGGTCTAGCTGGGAGCCCCTTAAGAAAACTCACCCAGGAGGTCCTCAGATTTGATCTCATGTATATTAGCTGCTAATAGGGTGAAGCTCCCCACAGGTGCGTGCTGTGGCCTAGGTAGGGTGATTGTTTTTAACTTGTGCTAGGCCTTTCCCCAGCCTCGTTCTCACATGTGCTGACAAGTACTGTGCCTAGCCAGGCCGAGCTTATTCTTAGACACAGCTGGACACGTGATTGATTATCAGCAAACGGCAGGGTTGGCCCAGCTCTTTTGATATACACACATCTCCCTCTTTGGCGAGCTGCCTTTCATACATCCCACTTTTGCATCTGCTGTTTCCTCTTCATGTCAGGGCTTTCCTGTCTTTGCTTCTTACATCATTGCTCAAATTTTTTAGACACCATTCCAGTGTTATCTGATCTCTGAAATCTCTTCTTTCCCTACCTCACTCACTGATGTCACCTTATTCTACCCCACTGCAATGTGCCCGCAGCCTTTTATGTAAGTGTTTATTGTGTACTTTATCTGTCTCCCTTCCTGAATTGTGAGCTGCCTGCAGGTAAAGACTGTGACTTGGTCACCTCTCCATTCTGCTCTGCCTCAGTGCCTGGCAGAGTACCTGGCATGTACCGGGAACCGTGCTGTGGCAGTGAACTGACATCACACGATTTGATGGATGGGATGCTAGGGGAAGTGTTGACAATACTAATATGGTAAATTCACCAAAAATACCAAATCCCAATCTAAAGATGAAGCAGTAGTCAAGGCAACTCCAAATGTAAAACCATTCTACAAAAATTTGAACTTCTAAAAAAAATGAGAATATCCTTAAAGACAAGAATCATGTCTAAGGATGCTAAAAGGACAGGGTAGCTAAGTTCAGTGTGTGTACCTAATAGGATCCTGAATTTTAAAGGATATTTTTGGGACAGTGAGGGGACTTTGTGGATTATATGTCAGAAAATAATATTGTGAAGTTTTCCTTGTAGCTGTGTAAATATCTTTGTTCCCATTAGACACATTGAAATTTTTAGGGGATTAAGTGATATCACGTCTGCAACTTTCAAATGGTTCAGCAAAAACTGTATTTACTCACCTATACATTGGTAAAGCAAATGTGGGTACTCGCTTCAGCAGAGTATATACTAAAATTGGAATGATAAAGCAAATGTGGGAAAATGCTAGCATTTGAATGTGAAGTGGATATAGTTGTTTTACTGCTTATTTCAGTAGGGTTGAAATTTCTCAAAGTGTTGGTGATGGGGATAAAAAGCTTGAGCTTTGATATTGGATTTGGTGGGTTGAAATCTTAATTTTGAATGTCCTCCCTGATTGTTACTACTGTTTTTTTTTTGTTTGTTTGTTTTTGCCAAGAGTTTCCTGAATTGTCAACAGTGTCAATAATAGTACCTACTCCATAGGGTTATCAGGATGAAAAGGTGATTGCCGGGGCTGTACCAATACCTAGCACATAGTGGGTGCTCAATCAATATTAACTGTGATTTGGACTGTGAGTTGTCAACATATGTTTACATGAAGGGATGCATGAGTGGGAAGGTGGGAGTGCTACAACTGTAAAAGCACCAGTGTAGTTGTAGAAAGCTCTAAAAGGCCCAGGGACCTTTGGGATTTCTATAAATGCTGTTCTGAAGGCAAATGTGGGGTTAAGCCCACTGGGGCTAAAGTTTAGGATAGGCAAGAGTGCAAGGACTCACCAGGGCCTCAGGGAACAAGGCAGCACCATGTCAGGGGGTGAGATAAATTCTGGGTGGCTTGGGTGTGATCATGCAGTGGCTGTGGAAGTCTCCAGCCCAAAGCATGTAAGCCACCAGTTTACCTGGTCTTCTTGCCCATGCCCTCACCTTTATATTCCAGTCCTACTGGAATCCAAATCCAGGGCCAACAGCAAATATGCATAAGCCTTGACTCCTGTGAGTTTAATGCTCTCGGAGTGTAAAGAGGCCCCAGGAGAAAAGGAAATGAGAAGCCAACTTCTTAGTTGTGCAGAGAATTTTAATGGAAAGCTGATTTTTCTGTTTGCCAGAGGGGCTGAGATGGGGGCTCTAGCCTTGGGATATCCTGTAGGAACCCAGTCTTCTCTTTGCCTCTGGAGGCATGCTGACTTCTTGGTTGCAGAGCTGTGACCTGAAACTTAGCACCTAGAGGTTTCTTGTTGCCAAGGCAGAGTCTCAGTAGCTCTCTGAGGCTTTAGCTGAAGGCTTTTATACCTGCTGCTGTGTGGTAGCACCTGTGCCCTCCAAGGAAGAGATGGGAGAAAACCTCCCAAGCTGGCTGGGACAAGAGCAAACAGCACTGGGAGAGTTTGCTGAAGTTCATGTTCAAGATGCCCTCCATCCTAGCTCATCTCCAGAGAGTTGATGTACTCCTTAACCCATTTCTTTTCTGGATTGGCACACACCTGGCGGTTTTTTCTGGTGACAAAGCTGTGAGAGAGAAGAGAAGAGCTTGTGAGTCCTGGGGCATCCAGTTTTAGGGATGAGGTGGATTGAGTCCTAAAGGAAAATGACTGGGAAAGAGCGTTTTGGGAGCTCTGTATTATTTTATTCATAGTAAAGTTTGGAGAGACATTTCTTTTTTTCCTGGGCCAAAAGGTTGCAAGCCTGAATCAAATCTGGGTGCATCTTGACCCTCCCCACGAGCATACACATAGACTGGAATGCTAAGAGGATATGGAGTCCCCAGAAGTCTTTACTCAGCATTTGCTGTGTTCCAGGCCCTGTGCCCGGCGGTCAAAATGCAGAGAGAAAATGAGAGTGCCTAGAGCTGAGCAGTGCTGAAAAGAAGCATGTCGTTTGCCTGTAGACAGCACGGTGCCTGGCTCAGAGGTGAACACAGGAGTACATCTGTGCATACATGGATCAGTGAAGGAGGGACATGCACCTAAGTGTTGGTTTCATCTCTTGCTTGTTGGATTACCATAGACAAATCACTGAGGGCCTCTAACATGCTGAGAGAGATAATTCTTACTTTTCATAATTGTTGTGAAGCTCATATGAGATAGCGTGTCTGAAGGAGTTTTGGGAAGTACCATAGGTTGTTGGTGGTGTTATTAGGATGCTGTGGGCCTTTGCTTTAGGGTAGTTCAGAGCAATGTGAAATCCTGGTTATGGACACTGTTAATGAGGTTATGGGTCCCAAAATACTGATAGTGCCCATGTATTTCCACCATCGAACCAGGCAGCATGTGGGGACCATGAGAATCACAGTCCTAATCTCTACAGGTGCTGATGGAAGTGTACTGGAAATGTGCAAGTTGAGGTCTCAAGGGTCAGTCAGGCTGCCTGCCTTCCCTGTCTGTTGTGAGACTGACTCTGTCATGAGGGGAACTGCTGCCAATCAACAAGTTCCTTCTGGATCACCCTGGCCTGCTTGACACATTCTTATTTTGGCTTCACCTTCGGGATGTTTTCCTGGACATTATTGCTGCTTTTAAAAAATATGATTATGGATTTTCACTTAGAATAACAAACCATTTTAGAAATTCTCACAGAAAGTAAATTAACCTTCTTGTCCTGAGGTCTTTTTTCTTTTTTTCTCTAAGTCTTACTTAGCCACACACTATGCCATATTACTCTACAGCAAAACAAAGGAGAAGGAATTCTATATGTCCTAAAAAGCACCACAAATTCATGATTCTGCTATTGATTTTATAATTACTGTTATATTTTGAAAGTGTAAGTGCATTCCCTTTGCTGAAATGTTATGCTCACTTATGTTCTAATGTCCTACGCATCTGCCACTTTTTGGCTTAATATTTTTATAAAAAGATTATTTATTCAAAAGGCAGAGTAACAGAGAGATTCTTCTCTCCGCTGATTCACTTCTCAAATGGCCACAGCATCGGTTGGGGGGTGGGGTGGGGTGGGGCGGGGCAAGGTTGGAGTCAGGAGCCAGGAACTCCATCTGTTTCCTACATGAGTGGCAGGGACTCAAGTACTTGGGCCATCTTTTACTGATTTCCCAGGTGCATCAGTAGGGAGCTGTATTGGAAACAGAGCAGCTGAGACTCACACTGGAGATTTGATATGGGATGCTATTGTCATGAATGGCAACATGACTCACAACACCATAGCACTAGTCCCAGTATTTTATTGAAGATGTTATGTTTGACCAAGTCACTAGGCTTGTCCTGGTTTCTGCATCTACCAGCATGTTTCATGTCTTGGATGGTGTACTCTGTTAGCTTTCTGCTAATGTACATCCTGGGAGATGGAAGATTGTGGCCCAAATACTTGGGCCTGTGCCACCCATGTGAAGTTCTGGATTTGTAGGCTTTGGGGAGTGAACCAGTAGATGGAAGATCTATCTTTGTCCCTGTGTGTCTCTCCTTCTGTGTTCCTAACTTTCAGGTAGATGAAAAATAAACATTTAAAATTTAAAAAATACTGTGGTATAATACATGTAAGGGATTCTCAAAGTTTGTGGAAAATGCACATTATGAAAAGACTACACATGAATTTCAATAAATTTTACATCAAAATAAAAAACTTCTAAGTTCATTTTCTACAAAGTTTTTGAATTCCCCTTGTATACGTATTTTTTTAAAGATTTGTTTTTATTACAAAGTCAAATATATAGAGAGGAGGAGAGACAGAGAGGAAGATCTTCCGTCTGATAATTCACTCCCCAAGTGAGTGCAATGGCTGGTGCTGTGCCGATCTGGAGCCAGGAGCCAGAAATAAAGTTAGTGGGGCAGGCATTTGGCACACTGGGTGAGTCACTGAGACTCCTGTACCCTGCTTTGGAGTGCCTGCGTTTGAGTCTCTACTCCTGATCCTGGCTTTCTCTGGAAGGCAGCTGGTGCTGGCCCCAATGATTGGGTGCCTGTCACCTGGTTCCTGGCTTTAGCCTGGCCCAGTCCCAAATGTTGTACTACTTGAGGCATGAACTAGTAGTTGGAAAATCTTTCTCTCTTTCTCTGCCTTACCAAGAAACAAATAACAAATGTTTTAAAGAAATAAAGTTGGGCCCAGCACGATAGCGTAGTGGTTAAGGTCCTTGCCTTGCAAGCGCTGGGATCCCATATGGTTGCCGGTTCTAATCCCAGCAGCCCCGCTTCCCATCCAGCTCCCTGCTTGTGGCTGGGAAAGCAGTCAAGGACGGCCCAAAGGCTTGGGACCCTGCACCTGCAAGGTTGACATGATAGAGCTCCTGGCTCCTGGCTTTGGATTGGCGCATAACCGGCCGTTGCAGTCACTTGGGGAATGAATCATCAGACGGAAGATCTTCCTCTCTGTCTCTCCTCCTCTCTGCATATCCACCTTTCCAATAAAAATAATAAAAACATCTTAAAAAAAAAAGAAAGTTAACTGTGTGAAATATTGCCACTGTAGTTTGAAAAATTCATCAGAACTAAATTCTGTCTTTGAATACTCATACTTTTGCCAGTGTCATGAGAGTTTGGATTAAAAAAACTTTACTCTCATGTAGAAAGTTTCATCTTGCTACTTTTAATTTACTTAAGTCTCTGTCATCTTATGTGTCTTAAACAACTTAAGAGCTTGCTATACTAAAAACAGGAGGCTCCAGAGACAGGCTCCCTCCCTTTTTCTCTCCTTGTGCAGACTTGGTAAACAGACAAAAACTCCCCCAATAGGATTACAAACCCCTGTCAGGGATGGTGTGTGAGATGTAGAGGTAATGTAATAGCACATTTGAAACCTAGTGTGGGGGTTCGTCTTGTCCTCCTGCCACTATGGCAGAGGACTAGGGTCTTTTTTACTTTTCCTTCTGCTACTATGGTAGGCGGTAAGGGTCCATTCTATCTCAGAGCCCCCTCCTGTCACTAGGAGGGGAGCCTCTCTTCTCAACTTTTCTAATAAATTTTACTTTAAAACTAAAAAAAAAAAAAAAACCCCTAGTGTGTACTTCCTTTGTGGTAGGGATATTATATTTAAAGGTAAGGCTCATTTCATGATTTCTTCTCTAGTGGATAATAGTAATTATTATTTTTGTTCATTTTTCACTTGGTTGTAATTAGATCCTTAACGTCTGACCTCTGCTGTCTAATTCCTCTATGGTTTATTTAGGTGGGTTTGGTTTGTTGTAGTGTGGGAAGTGGAGTGATGGAGCATTCTCAGCTGGAAAGCCTCTGCACACAGGGGCGTTACAGAACCTGTCAGATAAGAGCCAAATCTTAAGACTGCATTCCTGGAACCTGGCCCATTGTGGAGGGGAAGGGGTAGAGCCTTCCAGAGCACCTGTTTAGGCCTTTTACACTGTGTGGAGACTGAGGGGCTGGCCACCCTCACCCCCCGCCCCAGAGGTCTCCACAGGGCTGAGACTCACACAACTGCCGGGTTGGAGCACTTGCCACTGGTGTAGAAATACTCCTTGATATGGGCTCGGGGCAGTGAGCGGGCAATGTAGGCAAAGCAGCAGGGCGTGGTGTCAGAGGCATCTGGAAGAAGAAAGAAGGAAGACCCTTGTGTTCACTCCCAGTGCACACTGGGGCTTGTGCTGGGTACCACATATGCTTTATCCTGAAAAGGACTGACCACCTCGGCAGAAACCGAGATGTGGAAAGGACAAATCAGCTGACCATAGACACACAACAATGAAGTGAGGATTCCGACAAGAACTGAAACAATCTCCCCAGCATTTCACCTAATCCCCTTGCCTTCGGACTGTAGCCCTTACCTTTGGGTATTCCTTGGATTTCTAAATTTCTTCCTGGTCTGTCTTGGGCCCTCTGGTATATTCTTTCTCCCTAGGATCCCAGCAGAAGGTCTGTTTTGTTTGAGACCTAGTTGTGTGTGGTTCAGGCCTCTTGGCTCACACAGGATCCCAAAGCAACCCTTGAGATGCATGGGGGCATCCTGCAGCCCCTGGCAGAGCTGCAGTGAGAGACATTCTGACCCACAAACCTCTGGCTGGTCAGTTCAGGAAAATACTGGGAAGCATGTTGTAGCCATTTCCTAGAAGATCAGTAATGAGTCTCTTCCCAGAGGGAAGGAAACCAGCCTAGCTTCAGGAACAGATTCAGAGTTGGGAAGATCCTCTGAGTCCTTCCTGGAATCCCCCCCACCACTGTGTGTCCATAGTCCCGTGACTTCCGTCTCTGCACCTCAGATAGCATGGGGTTTGAATATCACTTCCCTACTTCCTAGCTGTGTGCCCTTAGTAGCTGTGAGTATTCAGTAAGTGTAATGCCTGTAGAGTATTAAGTAAGATAATGCCAGTAGATATTTAGCTAGTTTTTATTAAACTTGACGTATTTAGTTATTTTAGAGACAGTTCGACCTGTGTCAGGCCAAAAGCAGGAGTTGGGAACTTAATGCAGATCTTTCACATCAGTGACAGGGATCCAGTCACTTGAGCCATTACTTCCTGTCTCTCAAGGTGTGCATGGTTAGGAAGCCAGAATAGGGAGCTGAGCCAAGTCTTGGCCCAGGCTCTCCTATGCGGGAGTGAGTGTCCTAAGTGTCTTAACCATCTCTGATCCTATTTTCCTTTTAAAGGCTCTGTTTTGTTTTTCCATCTATGAAATAAGACAATTTGATTGAATTGGGGTATTGGTTAAGTGCTAGAAATTTGTTAGAGATGCCGCTGGCAGCAGGCATGAGTCAGTCATGTCTCAAGGTCAGCTAGACCATATGTCAAGGTTTACTAATATCACCAACAATAGTCCATACTCTTGTGAGCACCTACTGGCCTCATGAAGCAGCTCAAAGATCCATCAAAATAACAGAACAGCTGGGCAAAACAACAAGCAGGCAAATAACAGATTCAGACTGTACGTAAATTCCAGTTGCGAGGAGAACCAGCTCTAGGACAGTGTATGAGGTGGCTAGGGCATTCAAGGCAGAGGGTCTGACTCTGGTCCCTGGCAGTCAGTTGGAACCTGGACTTACATGGGGAGGCAGATGCAGGAGCACAGAGAGCAGCAGTGGTGAGGAGGACCACGAGGGTGGCTGCGGGGACCTTCATGGTGGCAGCAGGCAGAGCTGTGGAGATGCACGAGCTGTGTCTCAGGAGTGTCTGCAGGGATCCTCAGAAACTCAGGTTCCTCCTTTTATAGAGGCCAGGGCTGACAGAAGGGGTGTTCCCACAAGGGAAATTTGCAAAGCAGCAGCCAAGCATTGGCTGATATCATAAGTAACACTATACAAAACACAAAAGGAAACTGAAATAGCCTCCAGAATTTTTTCTTAAAGATTTATTTTATTTTTATTGGAAAGGCAGACATACAGAGAGGAGAGACAGAGAGGAAGATCTTCCGTCCGATGATTCACTCCCCAGGCGGCTGCAACGGCTGGAGCTGAGCCAATCCGAAGCCAGGAGCCTCTTGCGGGTCTCCCACACGGGTGCAGGGTCCCAAAGCTCTGGCGTGCAGTGCGAGGCGAGTACCTTAACCACTGCGCCATCGCGCTGGGCCCACCTCCAGAAATTTTTGAGTCAGTCTGTCTCACCCTCTTTCCTTCCCTCCCTTCTGACCTGCCTTTCTTCCTCCCTTTTCTTCCCCTCCCTCTCTCTCCTGTCCCCCTATCCCACCCTAAGCTAGAATAAGCTCATCAGTTCCTCCTTTGCCCTAGTACAGGTAGAGGAAGCCTCTTCCTCTGTTGGCATCCATGGCTTCACTCTCCAGGGCAGTGTTCTCCCCTGGGGGCAGGAAGTCCCTGTTCTGGGGGCAAAGAGGGACAGGATCAGTAGCCACTGGGTCTTGATTTGGTTGCTTTCAGAATTCTTGCTCATGTAGCTTTTAAAAAATTTTTTTTTTGTTAAGAAATTTTAATTTTGCTGATGTTTATGTAGCTGAGAGGGATGTATGCCCATGTGGACCTCTGATCAGGGTGAGAGCTCATGTAATTTTGTCTTCTCTTTGAAAAGGGTTCTCTTCACATGTGAATATAGTCCCCAAAGAATGTGGCAGCACCCACATTCTGAGTGTTGGGGACCTTCATACAAGATATGAGTTGGGGGTTATTTATCTTGAATTTCTTGCTTTTCTTGTGGCCACAGATTCACCCCAATTTCCTTACTTTGCTGCATGGTCTTTGGGGAAATTGCTTACCATCTTGGAGCTCTATGATTTTGCTTACAAAGTGGGATGACTGATTATGGGCTTGTATACACTGCTCTGGTTCGTGTCTGTTTGCTAAGGTCTGCACTGTACCAGGTAATGGTCTGTGTGCTTAGCCTGCGTCGGCTCCTTCACAACCATCAGCTCCATTGCACAGATGAGAAATTCCTGTAAATGCTGGGATCCCATCTCCCCAAAGCCTGCTTCAGCACACAAGTTACAGACTACAGCAGATGCAAAGGCCTTTACGGATGATTTTTTTGCCCTCTGCTCTTCAGTTGTAGAGGAGGAAAGCAAGACTTACGCAGTAAGAGTGACTTGCTGGGAACACACAACAGATGCATGCCAGGGTTGGGATCAGAAACCAGTGGCTGTGGTTTCTCCTTGAGTGCTTAGTCAGGAGTACTGCTCATTATTCAAAGGCTCCTGGCTGGTGCTGTCCTCAAAACCGAGTCCCTGCAGAAGTCCTTACTGCTTCATCAATTACTGTTTGGATAGTTCAGAATCAGTGGCAGTGTGGTCTGGGCTGGATTGAAATTGGCTTCTGAGTTATCTAAGAGAAGAGTGTTTAATGACAGTGACAAAATCAATCATACTAAAAACAAATGTAACCACATAATGGGGTCATTTTCTGTTAGCTGCTGTACATATGCAACTTGGTGGTTGAGGTGCTAAGTCGCCCAGAATAGGAATAGAATGGCCTGGTAACGTATCTGCCTCACAGTGCCTTAGGCAGAGATGGTGGTTAGAGTCATTTAGCGGAAGAGGAAACTGAGCCGCAGAGGATTCTTTCTTTTTTTTTGGTAAAAATTTATTTCATTTATTTTTTATTGGAAAGGCAGACATACAGAGAAGAGGAGAGACAGAGAGGAAGATCTTCTGTCCATTGGTTCCCTCCCCAAGCAGCCACAACAACCAGAGCTCAGCCAACCCGAACCCAGGAGCTTCATGTAGGTGTCCCATGTGGGTGTAGGGGGCCTATGGACTTAAACATCCTTCACTGTTTCCCAGGCCATAGGCAGGGAGCTGAATCAAAAGTGGAGCAGTTGGGACTGGAACCAGTGCCCATGTGGGATGCTGGCAATACAGGGGATTAGCTTGCTAAGCTACCTTGCTGACTCCCTACCCTGCCAAAAAATCTTTTTATTTATAGGAAAAGTCCTTTTTAAACAGATGGGTCAGCTGAGGCTTAATGACTCGAGGCCATCTCCTACACTGGGAGAACTCAACCTCGAACCTGTGTCTATCTGGTTTGTGGGTTTCCCCCTATGCTTCATGTTTATGCAGAAATCCTGAAACTCTTTCCAAGGCTTAGTTTTCCACCATGAACTCTATTTCCTGTATCTGGTCTCAGTTTCACTCTTTAAGAAAGAAAAGGTGCCGGTGTTGTGATGTATCACACATGAACGCCAGTTTAAATCCTCCCTCTCTGCTTCTGGTCCAGTTCCCTGTTAATTCACCTGGGAAAGCAGTGGAAGAGGACCCCACTGCTTTTACCCCTGTACCCAAGTGGGAAGCCCTGATGGAGTTCCAGGATCCTGGCTTCAGACTGGCCTAGCCCAGGCTGTTGAAGCCCTTGGGGATAGATCTGCTCTGTCTCTTTTTGTAACTCTTAAAAATAAGTAAATATATTTTTAAAAAGAAACAAAATAAGGAGAATATATTCCTGGATACCAGGTGGGAATGTTCTGAGTTGGGACCCCTGCTGAGGTCAGAGGTGAGAACACCCACACATGTGGCTAGTATGCTTTGCATATGTAAATCTTGGGGACCCTTTCAGTGGTGTGCAGCTGTGTTGGGATGTTTGTGCATAAGTGCTGTCAGGGTTTGGGGGTGGGTGGGATAGTGGGGTTGCTGAGAAAGAACAGGTCAGTGAGAGCACCAGGAATATAGTCTTCCTTTCTGATCATCACAGTGGGCTGTAGGTAGCAGAGGGGAGAGAAGAATCTACAGATTTATTCATTTTCATTGGAAAGGAAGATTTACAGAGAAAGAGACAGAAAGATTTTCTGTTGATTGGTTCACTTCCCAAATGACCACAACAGCTGTAGCTGAGCTGGGCTGAAGCCAGGAGCCTGGAACTTCCTCTGGGTCTCCTATGCGGGTGCAGGGTCCCAAGGCTTTGGGCCGTCCTTGACTGCTTTCCCAGGCCACAAGCAGGAAGGTGGAAGGGAAGTAGAGAAGCCAGGACATGAACTGGCATCCATATGGGATCCTGGGTGTGCAAGGTAAAGAGGTAGCCACTGAGCTGTCATACTGGGTCAAAATCTACAGTTTTTAAGAAGTTACTTATTGGGTCTGGCATGATGGCCTAGCGGCTAAAGTGTCACTGGTTCTAGTCCTGTCAGCCCCAATTCTCATCCAGCTCCCTACTTGGGGCCTTGGGACTCTGCACCCCTATGGGAGACCTGGAGGAGGCTCCTGGCTCTTGGCTTCAGATTGGCTCAGTTATAGCTGCTGCAGCCACCTGGGGAGTGAATCAATGGATGAAAGATCTTCCTCTCTGTCTCTCCTCTCTGTATATCTGACTTTGCAATAAAATTAAAATAAATCTTTTTAAAAAGTTACCTATTGCCTTTTTATTTGAAAGGCACAGAGACAGATGGAGATCTTCTATTTGCCTATTCACGCCCCCAGATGCCTATGACAGCTAGTACTAGGCCAGGCCAAAATCAGCAGCCTAGAACTCAGTTCAGGTTTCTGACGTGAACTATCACTTGCAGCCTCCTATGGTGTGCAGGAGCAGGAAGCTGACATTGTCAGTGGAGTCAGAAGTTGAACCAAGCACTCTGATGTCATATTGGAATATCGCCAGCCACATCTTAACCACTGCAGCAAACCTCTCTAGCACAGTGTTTCGAACATTATTAATTGGCATCCTCAGGTTGTATTGTACATCGAACCTCTAGACTTACTCATGCTAGCTTTGTAGCATTTGACCAATATCTCCCTCCACCTTCTGACCCCTGACGCTGGTCACTGCAGATCTCTTTGCTTCCACATTTTAAAAAAATTTTTCGGATTCTACATACAAATGACAGCATGCCATATTTGTCTGTTTATGTGTCTGGGTCGCTATTCCCTGTTAGTAAGGACCTTAAGCAAGTTGCTCAGTTCTTGGCCTCAGTTTAAAGTGTGGCAGTGGGTCCAAGCACTAGGCAATCTGATGAAAGCTGTGACCAGCTTCCACCAACACATGGAGATCTACAAAGAAGCACACACATGTCATTTGGCATAGAAGGGGTTCTGAGGTTGGCCCTTCTAGGCTGGAAGGCAATGCTCATCAGCTTTTGTACCTCCAGCACCTCATTTCTTACTGAAGCCAGGCACACATCCTTCCCTCTTTTCTGGCTTGGTTGTGATGTTCCCTGTGTCACTCACTCCTTGCCTAAGCTCACATGGCTGCTGGCAAAGTCTCACTGTGTGATGTAGGAAAACCAATACAGACATGGAAAGTGAAACTCAGTTCCCTCTGATTCCAAAGCTTTCATTAGATGTGGAAATTCCCACATATCTGTGGAGAGCAGCTTTGACTATTCTGGCTGCTGTGTCAAAAACAAAACAAAACAAAAGCCGACGAAACCAAACCAAAAACCCCAGGCCCCCAAACAGCCTGACCTTCAGCCAGCAAAGTGCAGCTTGTCCCTGGGAACAACAGTCCCAGAGAAGCCTGAGGCAGAGTCGTTTCTCCATCTGCAAGTTGGAGAGTTTTTTCCTGGTTGCTCTCTTCCTTTTCTGCCTTGGTTGGTTTACCACACTTAGTAATTCATTCCCCAGCTGTGAGCTGCACATTTCGGCAGGGCCCTGCTCATAGTAGCTGCTCTGCTGCTGCCTGGCAGCTCTGCAGGAGGCAGCAGGGCAGAGGCATAAGCTGAGGCCTCCCTCCCTGCAGGCTCAGGGGTCTTGCCTAGGTGGAGGCAGGATTCAAACCCTAAATAAGACCCCTTCTTGTACGTCCCGTCTTTCCATTTGGTCCAGCTCTGGTTTGA